TAGGGCCAGCAGCACCCTGGTAGGTGTTCTCCTAAGAAGCTGCACATTTTATCTGTAATCATTTTGTTCAAAATGTAAGGTAGGAATCTTTTGTTATTCTTTATTTTAGTCAACGTTGCACATATCTAGGTTAAAGCTGCCTCTTGCTAAGTAGAGCTTTGTTCAAAAGCGTTTTTTTCTCTTTTAAACTTGTCTTCAAAGCATTGAGAGAGATGTGCATCAAGGGAACTCTGAAAGTACAGGGAAGTTATTGATTGTTTGATTTGATTTTGTGCTGTGGACTTCTTCCTTGAAGGTCCARGAAAGTCCCTAGACTTTGGATTTCTAGTGGACTTTTATTGAATTCTTGCTTTGATGTAGCCTCTAGAAAATGTTCATGTGCAAAATTCCCCAAGTAGCACTTCTATTTCTTTTGCAAAGGACTGGTCAAAAGCTTTTGTGAAAGTCCGCTTCTGTTTGCTTGCTGTTAAAAACAGGACTGCAAGTATACAGCTTGGTTTATGTGTTTTCATCTTCTGAGAGTCTAGAACTTTTTGTTACCTCAGGATGAGAAAAAGAATCGTGTTAGGGAAGGTGGAGATGGAAATGTCATCCTTGTTACAGGCTGAGACCATTAGAATGAAGTAGCTTGTCGTTTGCAGAAGTCTCAATGTTCTAAGACCAAATTCAAACACGCTCTAAACTGCTAAAAAAAAAATGCTGATAGCCAAGGAAATGCCTTAAAAATCATTTTAACAAGCAGGGAAATATTAATATGAATTGAGGCTCAGCCCATCCTGTTTTTTCATACATTTTAAATGTGCACAATCTGAGCCTAGGTTTCTAGATAGCAGCTCTTGAATTTGAGATTCAAATATGAGCAATTTTACATTGTTCTGACAAGTGCTTACACTTGAAGTGGAAGTATGTTTTTTTTTTTTTCTTTTGCTTAAGCACTGCTCTGGTGATAGGAAATGAAGCCGTGGGACCTAAAATAGTCTTAGGTAACAGTAGTATAGGGAAGAAGCTCTGTTGTTAAAGGGCACCCTTCTGTCTTTTAGTTTCCTCAGGTATAGGTGGTAGCATAGGTCAGAGATAGTCTCTCAGTTTCTGTATGAAAACAAGAATTTTTAGTGTAGAATATATATATTCTTTTGCATTGATACTTTTTCCCAATTTTTAAACTGCACTTGTAATATTTCTCTTGTGCAGTTACAGAGACTGTTCTGCATGCATTTTTTTCTCATTGTACATACCTTGCTATTGATACAAGAACTGTTTCTGTTTAAGCAGTATATGTATTTATATATCTTGAATGTAGAAATCAGCATGGCTTGCTTCTTGCTAATTTCCATTCTTTCAATTTTCTTCTAAGGAAGCAAAATGTCGATACACAATAGCCTAAGATGCGAAGGGAAGTTTTACAGGCTAAGTGGAAGGGAAGAAATTTGGAAGTGTTCTTTCCTTTAGGAGAAAGCCCTTCTTCCCCCAATTGTACGACTTGGCCTCCCTCCGAACAAAGTCATTTCTGTATTGTCTGCCATTCCTTCATATATATCATAGCTTCTCAGTATACTCTTTGCAAGGCTTTTTAAACACTAACTCTTGTACTAGGATGTTTACTGGCCTCTGGGTCATGTAGGAAGCCCGTGATAGAGCAAGAAGTGCATGAGCCGGATCGTTCCTGTCTTCCTTCCCYGTCCCTCGTGTGCTGCTTTGTCCGTGTCTATTTTACACACAGATTATTCCTCGCTATGAACAGTGTTATCCAGTTTCCAGCTGTGTTTTAATAATTCGAGGTACTCAATACCTGGTTTTCTTTAAGGTCGTCAAAATTAGATGCTTACGAGGCACTGGTTTGCTTCAAGTATTTGGATTGTTTTAAAGTTTTCCCTTTCCGAAGTCTATTGCTATGTGCCATATCAGGCTCAGATCCTAAATATGCAGCTTTTCCACATCATCCTGCAGTTCTCTGGTTGAAGTCCATGTTTTGTCAATATATGAATCCTCTGGAAATAGTAATCCCTTAGCTCTTGTCTTCCTAGTCTGGTCTAGTGGGTATACAACGAGGTGCTAGGACATTCTTTACGAGTCTGCATTGCTTTGCTTTGCTTCCCTCCTCATTATAGCTCCTAATGTGCATAAATCCATTGCAAACCATTTAAATGGTAGGCCTACATGAATAAGGAAATTGCACATGATGTATGGATTGCTCTCAGTTCTGCAAGTGTTAAAAACCTTTCTTGTCCTGCCTTTAGTCAGTTAAATTTGCTCTAATTGAATTCCTGTCATCTTCTAGTCTTTCCATCAGTGAGGTCAAGAACTTTGCATTCTCTGTGAAGGCGTCGGCTTACATTGGATTTAAGAAGTAACTTCTAAATGGTCCTTATAATAAATTGGAGAGGCTGTGAGGACAAGCAGTCAAATCCCTGATTAGCCGTTCTGCCCGAGAAGAATAGCAATGAGTCAAAACTTCAGCTGCCTTCCCTGGCAAGAGATCAGTGTTATTCCAAGGGGCTCTTTTTAAAGCAGTTTTCTCTGGCAGCCCTGAGTAAAGCAACTTCTCAGCAGACAGAACATCGCCCTTAAAATGAAATATGATGCTCCAGGGTGCTGGTAAAAGAAAATAGTATTTCTGGTTCAAGTCATTTGTAACAGATCGTAGCTATTAAAACCTTCTGTTGGTCGAATGAATCAGTATTGACTGACTGGTGGCTGCTGGGGGTCGGGGCGGAGCTTGTCAGATCCCTGGAAAGCTTGTGAAGGGCTTCTCCGGGCTGGTGTTTTGTGGCAGAACAAAATGTGGGAATAAACTGAGTTAAAAGACTATTTTTAGACTGACTGGTCTGTATGGTTTTGATTGCTTCATGTGAAGCATGTGGGCTAATCTCTAAAAGGGATAAGAAATTTCTGCAGTATCCCTCTAAGAGTTAAATAAAATGCAAAACCAGATACCTGTGTGAAATTCATAGCGTAAATGATGCAAATGCAGTTATAAAGTCTGCTTGAATGTTTTAATTGTAACAAAGGGCTTCTTCAGAGTCAAGTCTGTGTGGTTAATGTGACAGTCACCAGTGTGGATTGATGCTGCGATTAACAGATACTGATAGTCCTTATTGATAGTCTTTAGATTAATGTAAGATTATCTCTTAGTTACAATTGATTCAGTCCATATGTGCTTTTTTCAGTGACTCAGATATTTACATCAAGAAATCTGCATAAAGAGGCTTGTTCTTTCCCCTGCTCTCTCTTCCCATTCAGCACTGGATCTGAAGGTGCACGTGGGTTTGTGCATCAGTGCTAGCAACAAAGGTTCTGCAGTGGGGCTGTAGCTCCTTTTTGCGTTTTCTAGATATACAGTTAAAAAGAATAGAAACTGATCTCCTTTCCCCCGCCACAGAGGAGTAAAGCACAATGTGAGTCTTTTGGGGGCTTTTTGTCAGTAAAGTGAACAGGCAGGAGGAAATGAACACAGAACAGGTTTGTGGGGGAAAGGGTTGCCATCTTCGTACTGTTATTCTCCTGGCTATAGCTGCATGTTATGTTTTATTGGGTCTTGGCTCCGTAGGGAGGGTTGGGATGAGGCGGTTGCCGGACACTTGGCCCGGTCGCCTGTTCCCCATTCGATTGCATGAGCAGCCTGGCTGCTCCCGCTTGCCAGCTGCACACGGGGCTAAGAATTTGTAGCCTTTGGGCTCTTTTTTTGCCCATGCGTTGCAGTAGCAAAGGCTGTTAGGGGAGAAACTGGAAGAGGATGTGGGAGATGCCTTAGAGCAGTGTTTGCGTGTGGCTTTGCCCGCCTGGCTTTGCCTGCTCTTTTAGATTGCTGTTAACCYGCACAGTCACATGCTGTTTCTTTGTGTGGCTTTGGGGTTCAGACACGCAGAAATGCTGCATCTTGAATTGGAGCTCTGGAAGTGCTGTGCTGGGAAAATGCAGAGCAGCACAAGTGAAACGCTCCAGGGGAGGCGGTGGCAGCGACTGCAGGTGCCCGTCGAGCCCGGTGCTCGGTGCTGTCACCAGCGCGCCCTGCACACCAGCGCGCCCGTCACCCTCACCGGCACAGCGAGGACAGTGCAGCACGGCCTCGGGATGCAGCTCCTGGTGTCCCTGAAGCACTTGGATACCTCAGGCATGAGCACTAACGAAAAGCTCGGGAATGAATTAGTAGCTCTTATTCTGGAGGAACATCATAGGTTGTAAAATAAGTCTTGGCTTTACAGTGAGGCTAAAAGCGAGCATTGAAATGCTGCTGGCAGGGAGTGCTGACTGTCATGTAGACTGAATGAGGGGTCTTATGGAAAAGAAAATAGCGTGTGATAATGTAATTGAACACTGCATAGAAATGCGTCTCTGCAAAGCTGGAGGGAGGGAAGCATTAAATGAAAGCAGCAAAAATAGATCTTGCTGATTCCTAGTATTAGGAGTTTTGTTCTTTGTGATAAAATGCAACTTTTTTTGTCAATAAACTCACAGGATTACTGTATGTTCAGTAATATCAGATTACTGAATTTACCTGATTTTCATTATGAAAGGAGGACAAGCGACTTGCGTTTGAATATTTGCTGGCAAAGTTGGAAACCTGCCTGCAAGAGAGGGTAGTTACCTGCAGGTTCTTAGATGGAAGATTTTTAAAAATATTTCATGGTAGCCCAGCATACACCAGTCCTGAACCTTATTTTGTACTTCTAGATACTACCGTTACACAAATGATCTTAATTATGTTGCGTTGATGCATAAAATGTGCTTTATTATGCATCCTTAACTAAAAAGTGTCATACTCTACAATCTATTTTGCAAACTCATAGGGGGAGAAATGGGTGGAGAATATTGGTTAGTCATTAGCAAAACAAAATATAGACACTGAAATCACATATAAGGATTTTATATCTTTATTGGCTCTTTGTGCTAGTGGGAATCACCTTAAAATCTGTGTGTTTCCATATGATAAAAGTGTGTGTTGTGTAGCAGACTGTGATGAGCAGACAAAGTCAACATTATTTTATTTTAATCCCTTCTAGCCTTCAGGAAAGAGAACAATCATTCAGCATGTCCATTAAAGAAACGACTGCCAAAGTAAGTACGTGTCAGATGTCAGTTCCTCAGCGGATTTAAAGAAGCAGATAATACCTTTCTAATAAACTTTTCATATTTTGAAATGTTAGTTTTGTAGATGATTTCTTCTGAAAATATTTTACATATATAATGCTTAGACATGCACTCAAAAAAAAAAAAAAAAAAAAAAAAAAAAAAACCAAGGAATTGAAATTTGGACAAAACACAGAGATTATGCTTAAAGAAACAGATGGAGAAGTCTGCTTCTTGCTCCATATTTACCAGTGTTTGCTAGCCTTGATGTAGAAATGGGTATTTTAGTTTCGTGAAAGAAAATGATCCCAAATTCATATTTTTTTGTTCTTAAAACAGAACTTCTTACCTTGTATCTAGTTTGGATGGTGTAAGGAAAAAAATCAAGTTCCTCTCTCCCCTTGAAGAGAGTTACTTTTCTCTTCCCTTTAAATAATAATGAATTAATAATCCAACTCTTACACTCCTTTAAAAATGTGAAGTATAGTAATGTATTTGGCGTACCTTTCTAATCATAAAAGTTAAGATTTTTTCTTTGGTTTTCTTGTTTTTCATGACCTCCTTTCTAGCAAGAAGCTATTAAAGTTTTCTTTTTATATTAAAATAGCTTATTAAGCCAGAAGTAGCATCTTTGCTCCAGAATTGTTTTAGAAGAAAAGTTCGTTCATTATATCTAATTCAAAGAGCTCTATATAGAACAGGGAAGGGAAAATATTCCTGTGTTTGATCATTAATCATTTTATACTGTGAAATAAATATGCTATTTTTCATGTTTTTCCTCTAATAGTACTTTCCTAAATCAGTGAAAACTTTATCCTTTATACTCTATTCTTGTCTCAACCAGCCCTTTTAGTATGTGCTTAAAAAGGGGCTGTAATGTCTGTATCTGATTACCCCTTCCTCTTCCCTCCCGTTTTATTTTGAGCTCATACTTCTCTGTCCTTATATGTCCTTTACACATGTCTTGGGATTGCTAGTATGGTCTATCATAATATACTTCTGCTGTCCCACCTGTTTTTCAAAGACTATGAATAAAGTATCAAGTAAAATGTTGTGATTGACCTACATATAATCCACTAAAATTAGTGGGTGATTTGGTACTTTAGAGTGATTCATTGTTTGAATCACAAACATAAGCTACAGGTTTTGTCTTTCCCACTGAAAATGTGTGTTATGTTTTGGTGGCCTGTTTTACAGTGATAGTATCTAGAGATTTTTTTTTTTAAATAAGAGCTTGTAACTTAAGGTAGCAGTATGCAAGTCTGCATGGTAGAGTTCCACAGCCTGTTCATTTCTTTAAATATTAAATAGATAAAATTTCTTTAATTTCCTTTGATGCCTGCATAATGGCTTTTTATTTATTAGATAAATAGGAAATACATACATAGTCTCTTCCAAAATATCATATTTATTCAAATGTTCTTATCCTGTTTTCTTCTCAAACTGAATAGAGCTAGAGTTTTTAATGTTTTGACCGCGTGGGGAAGACGCTGCATTGTCAAAGGCCTTTTCCTCTCCCCTGTGCCTCCAATATCCATAAACTTGTTCCTGAATTTCTGCCTTACCTATAATGTTTTCAGGTGAGGCTGCAAAAGTTGAGATTAGCACCTTAATGAAGGGAACCATCTCCCAAACCGTCCTCCTCCCTAGCACAGATCAGAGGCTCAGGAACGCTCTTAACCTCATGTTCCAGGGGAGCTGTCCCAGCAGCGTGAGGAGCTTCCTCGGCCTRCGGGCCCTCCCCATAGCCCGTTAACCAGCAGGGCCTGCAAGCTTCACAGCAGCCGCCGGGCGCACAGAGTGCGTGATGCCAGTCCTTAGAAACTGATTAAACCTCCCAGCTTGTTTGGCATAATTGCCACGCAGCTGTCTCGTGGTGATGGCTTTGAGTCACTGTGAGCGTAGTATGTATTCCTGCAGTTTTCCTAGGGATGAATGATTCCTGATCTAAGTGCCATTTGCTGAGCCACTCAGTTACCCCTAAAGAGAGGACACTGCTTGGAAAGAAATCATTAGAACCTGTAGGATTTATTTTGGAAATAAGAGATGCAAATGGCCTTAGGGTTCTTCAGGCATATTTATCCTTTTCTGTGTGTGTGTAGTTCTTTATTTTTTATTTTTAACCATTTGAAGTAAATTATTGGTAAGGTAGAAAGAGAAGGTACAGAGGCCATGAGATGTATTTTTATGGTTAACAGATGCACTAAACTAAAGCAAGAAGGTATTCACCATTTAATAAGATTTGCAATTAGTGTCATATCTGAAATATTATGCTTTAGTTATACAAGCAGGTAACCCATTATAGCTGAAGGGCGGCTTCTTTTTAAAAACAAAGTGATAGTGATAATTTTGTTCTTATAAGTAGCATGATCATCTCTTGCTTTTGAGGAAGGATATGAGGTGGGCAGGGAAACTTTCCTCTGGAGATTTCATTTGAAATCTCATCTCTTCATAACTGTCCTGTGCTCCTCCTGACTGTTGCCTTACTCTTGGTTCCAATGAATGTAATGTTTTCTTGAGTGTCAGCTACAATTTTAAGCAATTGCTTGATGTCCGCCTTCAGAACAAGGGTATTTCCTACTCCCTGGGTATTTACCTGACCTTACCTAAATGTGGGGTTTTTGTTTGTACATTTTGCTTTCCAAGTGCTGCAGTATAGGGAAAGAAGGACATTTTTGAGTAGATGAGAAGTGAGTGGCGTACTGTATGTAAGGATTTTTAAGGTGGTTATATTTGCTTAAACATAAAGTACAGAAACAGATGAAGCTCTTTTCTTTTAATCTCTTTTCTCCTATAGCTGCCCATGCTAACCCCAGTTCTGATTTGTTGCTGATAAACTTCCAATTCCAAAAAAAAAAAAAAAAAAAAGAGGTAGAAAGACCAGAACCTGATGCAACTGTAACTTTGTGAAGCAAAGTACAATATTGAGTTGGTTTAGCCTTCTTTATTGCCTATTCAGAGAACATCAGTAGCTTTTTTCTTTTGCTGGTTAGGACATGTGATGTGGTTGCACTGGCTAACAATAATAATAAAATCACAGTGCATTTTGTGTTTTGAAACCTTAAGCGCCAATCCTTGTTTTCCTTAAATTTCTCTGATTCCAGGTATCACGGAATTGTAATGTTCATACACTGCCCCTTCTTCCAAATTCGGCCTCAGTATCTAGTAGTGAAACATGTCMTTTCTTATGTAGGTAGCTAATGCTATTATTTTCTATTTTTGTAATGGAATATATGTGGCAAAAGCCACAGAAATTTTGATTCACATTGGATGTTTCAGCAAAGACATCACTTTTTATTAAGCTTTGTTACCTTACTGTAGGATATGTCATGTTCGTAAACCAAGAGCATTTGAAGCCCCATTTAAATTGCCTTGTATTTTTACATGAATGAATTATATCTCATGGCTGTCTGCCTCAATCTAGGTTTGCACAAGTCAGAAACTCTGCAGTACTTTGAGGAGGAAAGTGAGTGATATTGAGACTCAGCTACCAGCTCTACTTGAAGCCAAAATGCTGGCTGTTTCAGGTAAGTTTTAAATGATGGGAGGGGCTAATGACTGATGAGGGGTGTTTTGGGGCAGTTTGGTGACCCTCTTGTAGTTGAGTCTTCTTGGGCAAGCAGTCATGACTCTATCTGCACTTGGCCGGGTTCCTTGCAGCCATTCAAGTCCAGCAGAACTGATTAGCCTGGGCTGTGTCATGCCCTGTGTAAGGTGCTTCAGGCCCTTCTCCATGGTGGGAAGTGTTGTCCTACAGAGTGCTGGGCAAGAGGCATTAATCATATGAAGAACCTCATATTTTTTTGACAGGCAAAACTGATAAATAACTATCAATAGCTTGCCTAGCCTTTACAAGCTGACTGCCTAGAGCTCTCCAGCTAAGAAGAGCCATAATAAATTAACAGCAAAGGTATAATAATTACATGTATGGGTTTTAAATGGCACTTTAAAATGAAATACAATAATTGGCAGCTTCTGTTACTCCAATCGTTAAACAACTAATGTTGGCAGCAGAAGAGCAATTTGATCCTTGGAGCACTCGTGCATGTTATTTACAACCAGTAAAACATTGAAATGTGATTACAGAGTCTGATTCATAACAGCTTTACATGCTGCTTATTTTAGATTACTACACTGTTTACTACGGAGGACAAGGCAGAGCACAGTTTTGTCTCTAAGTTTGAAGAGGTGGTTCTTCTAATTCAACAGATTGTTTGCAAATGCATGAGTAGATGTCTCTTTCTCTRGACACCTGCCTCTGAGAGAAAGCTAAATAGGACGGAATGTATATTTGGTACAGAGAATTTTCTAGTGTTACACCAATTTTTTTTAGCAATACACTAATCTATCTAAAGAAAGTCTGCAGATTTTTTAATATATGTCAAAGGGATGGGATATAGCTGATTTTTTTTGGGCCTCTTGCTATCTCAGAGATAAGAATCTCATAGCTGTACACAGAAAATTATTTTCAAGTGAAACGTTGCACAATATCATGCCACTAGTTTGCCAGAGGTGCATAGCATCAAACTTGAGCAAAACCCTAACAGATTTGACCATATCTCTTATTGATTGTTTTATTTTTCTATGTGCAGGTGCAAGGTAAGCTGAGTAATCACCCTCCGGTGCCCTTGGGCAGTTTGAATATAGATAATTTTCTGGCTTTTAGAAACCAGGGTCATAGCTTTCCCAGATGCTTTTTGACTTTCTGGAGATCAGAAATTGAGTGTGCAGCTGCTTCATGCCGCTGGCAGGAAGTGGTGGGCCAGAAATGTTCKGCCTCATTCTGATACTTTGGGAGAGCAATTGAGAAGTGAGTGCGATTCCACAAACATTCCTAACAAYACTTTAGAGTTGTTAGCTCTTAAGAGAAGTTGCTTATATTTTAGGAGTAGATTCAAGAGACAGTTGAATGCCAGTGTTTATAGGAACTGTTTTCAGTGATGTGAGGATGATTGCCTCTGCATGCCTTTTAAGAACTAATAGCACTATTTCTTAGTGTTGATAAGAAGCGCTACTTCTGGTTTTATTCTTATTATGAAAAACTCAGGAATGTCACTGAGTAGTGCAGTCTTAAACAAAATTCTATGTGATTTTTCTGAGGATTTTCATATGGGCCTGTGAAACTGCAAAGATAACATTTATGGTTAAGTTCAATGTAATCTCTATCTTAAATCGTATTTATTGACATCAGTAAAGATCTGTTTAAAACTGAGCAAGGCTTTATGACTTTATATGTGGCTATGAAGACTTACTGTTGCTTTCAAATCTGACAAGCTTCCATTTACTACTATAGCAAATTTTTACAGACCTTTTTACWTTTTTACAGACATTATACCACAGTTAGTGGGTTTCTCTCTTGTGAAATGTATGGACTTTCAACTGCAGCTTGAAGGAAACTGTTGACTCTAAACCTATAATTGAGTTTTTTTCTCTTGTTTTGTGTGTGTATGTGTTTTTTTTTTTTTTTTGAGGTAAGGAGAAAATTGTGGGAAGAAATACAAGTTAAAATTGAAATCTGGAGTTAGGAAAATAGAAATGACTATAAGCTCAAAGCAGAAGAAAATGATGAAGCAGGGTAAAATATGTGTGAGTGGTGCATGTATAAAGAGTATTTTGGAAAATTAACAACAGCAACAACAAAAAAGTGCTGCTTGTATGCAACCAAAATTGAACTGGTGTAGCAAGAATTTGGAGAAAGAAGCTGATATGTGTAACATTAACTACTATAAAATTGCAGCATGTTCACGATAGGTAAGCAGGAGGAAAAACATATGAAAAATGCATTTTTTTTCTCCCTGAAGCTCAGACACAGAGGAGAAGCAGTGCAATTTATTGTCTTTTTGTGAAGAGAAATTACCTGGGCAGTCTCTTGTGACTACTAGCTGAATGGTGTTTGAGGCTTTTTGGGTCAACTAGCAGTAGCATCAAAAGCAAAGACTTGATGCTAATGAATGAYGTAGGTATTTAGCAGCAGATTTGAGGTAATAGTATACTGCCTAATGAAGGCCTATTTTTTTGGTGGATTGTACAGAGGCCTATGTCTTGTCACATCACAGAACTGGCTCTGCACCTCCACATTCTTGTTTSCAGCTGCAGCCTGGGTCTGATGTGAGAGGTGTACTGAGATGAATTCATCTTTGTGCCCACACCAGCCCTTTCTGCTGCAGCACACAGYGCTGGGCAGCAGGTGCCTTCCTGCAACCATCCGTTTATCCTCTGCAAAGTAAAGTTTGCCACTCCCTGTTGTTACAAGTGATGGACTCTTTAGCAAACCTATAAACTCATTTAATAAACAATGCCTGTAAGTGCCCTCCCTGCCCAAAAAGGTCTAACCCATCACACAGACCATAGGCACCTCTGCTCTTTGTCTTTTTATGCCCCTTCTGAATGGGACTACCAGTTGCATGGATGTCACTGGCTTTCAGTGAGCTTCAAAGACAGTTTGTTCCTGCTGAAGTTCYGTCATGATACGTGACTAGACAGCGGAAAATTATTGCTTCTGTTGTGTAAGTCAGTCACTCATGTAGTTACTTACTCTTCTTCCTGCTTACCTAACCTGCTATCCCTGGAGGGARATAGGGTAAAAAAGTCACTTTGGCAGCAACTTTGACTTTGTACTCTGAGGAGAAATGTTAGGTGGAGAGCCCTGTGAATAAACCCTGTGAATAAACTATCTTGATGTCTTGAGGTGTAAGAAAAAGTCTTGCACCTCATACGGTCTGTGGACTTGGTCTGACACTACAGTGGCCGATACAGATGACTGCCTCTATTAGCATATGCCATCCAGGAAGCCTTGTGACAAACCTCTCAAATTGAGTGCATGCAGTTTAGATGCCTAAATATAGATGTTGTGACTACTTTTCTTCCAGTTGTCTCTTTGGTTTCCTTCCTGTTGTGGTTGCTAAAAAGGCTGCAGTGACTTCATGTGTCCATCCAGATCACARATCTGAGCTGTCACCCTCATCCCTCATCGTGTCCCTTTCATTGATAGTGGCAGTATGTGGAAGCAGAGGAAGAAAAGAGAAGAAATGGAAGAGAACAGGAGCTTGAAGGGCAAGAGGGGTGGGGTGTGAGGGAGGGAGAAATGGTTATGTGGGGAGGCTGATGTGCACACATGTCTGTGCAGCTGCGTGACCCTTGAGTCCATGAGTCTCTTCTACCTGGGCATCCTTTTAGCATGCGCGGAGATGGGAAGGAGGGGGTTACACATAGTTAGTGAAGGAGAATTATACAGTTTGCAGCAATTACTTACTAGCTAATAYGTGAAGTAAATTGCTGGGACCGGTGTGCTCCTGGGCTAATCTGTACCGTGCTCATCACCCCAGTGCAGACACTTGAGGAGTCTGTGGTGACCAGGCTTTTGTCAGTCACCACTGCTGTTTAGAACAGGCTGAGTCTCAGTTTTGCTAAATTGCCATCTCCCATCTCTCTGCCTTTTTCTCTTCAGGGTGTGTATTCTTTTGTTTGTTTGTTTTCTTTTTGCCTTTTCACACAGGCAATTTTTCCGTGAGTCTTTGAGTTGCTGATGGTGTTTTAACTATTTTTGCTTTTGAATTTTTTTTTTTAGTGATGGATGCACCAAAAGCTCCACACAAWTTTAAGGAAAAGTTTCTTAACAGTGAGGGTGACAGAGCCCTGGCACAGGCTGCCCAGAGAGGYTGTGGAGTCTCCTTCTCTGGAGATCTTCAAAACCCGCCTGGATGTAGCTCTGTGCCACGTGCTCTAGGTGACMTTTTTTTTGAACTCATGAAGCATAATTTTGAGGGCTTTTYTGTGGAAAGTTTTCTTGAAAGACTCCTGCAAGAACCTACTATCTGCCTTGTCTTAACTGATTTTGTTTTCCAAGTTGCTCAAATGGGATTTTTGCTCAAATGAGCATTTTTCTGAAATACTCAAATTTCTGGGTTGCTCTGTACTCATTTATTCAATCCTAGTTCAAGAAAATTTCTCCTCCAAAAGTCTTTGATAGATTATTTTTTTCTCGGAGTTCATTGTTTCTTCCAAAGTTTGTTACTTCTGTGCATTTATTCATGTTTAAACTGAACAATTAGTAAGATACTAGTGAGGTATAAACTTTCTAGCATGGACATTTATAAACAATTTTCTGAAGTTGTAGATTTTCCTGTTTATACCATTTTAAGCCCTGGCACAGGCTGCCCAGGGAGGCTGTGGAGTYTCCTTCTCTGGAGGTCTTCCAAACCCGCCTGGATGCCRCCCTGTGCCCYGWGCTCTGGGTGTCCCYGCTKGAGCAGGGGGTTGGACTAGAGGATSTCTAGGGGTCCCTGCCAACCTCAGCCMCTCTGTGATTCTGTGATTTTGTGTATGTTTGTGCATACGTGCACAGAAGGCACAGAAGGCAGAAGGAAGGATGGGAAGGGTGGCATTTTGCTGTTCTGCCCCCTTCATAGAATGCCATTCTTACCTTTCTGAGGTTTTGGTATGGACAGCTTTTAGTCACAATATTTTTTTATATATGTATTTATTTATATATTGTTTAATTTTGTTGTCTCTGTACAGATTTTCTGAGTGAACAGTCGTTTTTGCTGCAGTGATTTAGACTTTCCGGGGAAGAAAATGACTGACTTTATCTAATATCATCCAGTGAGAATTCTGTCTAATGGAAATAGCTATGTAAAAATTCAATAAAGTAACGCTTATCGTGTACACGTAGGGAAAATGGTAATTGCATCTTGGGGGGGAAAAAAAGGGAAAAGCTGTAACCGTCTCAGAATACTAGCAGAATAGAATATTTCGGCAAATGCCTGAAGAATATYTTATTAGTCTCTAGTATCCAAAGTGACTTTGGCTATTAACAAAATCAACCGAACAAAAAAAAAGGCTCCCCAAAACAGGACAGTATGTTTTTAAATGTTGGCAGCCAGAGGCTGTATGTATTAACTTTTAAATCAACTTTCTTGTAGCATTCGGAAACTGTTATTTTGGTTGCTATGATTGAGGTCAGAAGCTCAGTGATGACTCGGTGGGGTATGAATCTGTAAATGCTCTCCTGAATTTTCACTGCAGCCTTTCAGACGTTTTTGCTGTCAGGGATATCTACAGCAGGCAATTTTGGCTTTTGGGCATACACCTGATGTCATTTCCTCATAGGCTGTGCTTTGATATCMGCTTCCCCTCTGGGACTTAAGATCCATTCAGTATGCATAAAACTTTTATGAATCATACCATACCTTTCTCCTTGCTGGCTGCTGAAGTGCTAGAGAAGGCTCCTGCTTCCAATGAAGAACCTCCTGTCCTCATGTTTTATTGAGAATCTGGAGCACCGATGCTTGGGATGAGTTCAGGCGCAGTAAAGATGCGCTGTTTAATTGTAAGTCTTGCTTCCTTAGAAACATCTGAGTATCTGCAGGCTTTTTTCTTTCCTTTTTTTTTTGGGGGGGGGGGGGATTTTTGTCCTATTTTTCTGCTACATTTTACCAATTTTGGAAATGGTTTAATTCTTTGTAGACTACAACTGGCAAAAAAAAAATTAGTTGAGAAATAAACAGGTAGTAACTTTCAGCTTTTAAAGTGAAAGGAAGAAAGGCTCTGTGAAAAGGCTCTTGATAGGACACTGCCTGTTATGACTAAATTAAAAGCAAACACACAAAACCCCCCAACCCAGGCCCGCCCTGTACTTGGCAATCTCTTCCGAAATTTTGGAAGGTGCAGTCTCCTTTTGGCCCCTCTGCGCAGCTGAGTTGGCCGCAGGTTCTCTCTTTCAGGAGGAAGGCTGTAAATTCTGGCCCCGAGCGTTCCCGCCGCTCCTGCGCGCGGGGSAACGGGGCTGCCGTCAGCAACGGGAGGCAGTTTGCAGCCTCCTGCCTGGTGTAAATGCCAGCACCTAGTTCTTGCTTCCCTCTCCTGCAGGAAGGGAACGGCAGCCCAGTATTTCTCTTTAAGATTTTTTGGGCAACACTTTCTCRAAAGGGAAGTAATGCTGCAATTTAGGAAACTGTGTTGTGGTTCTGGTGTTTTGGAATGTATCTTATTTTTCTACAATAAGCTTTTGAATTTATCTGTTATCTACAAGGAATGTGTTACTATATTCTTCTGCRGTAGTTGAAGTACCTTCTCTGAGGTAGTTGAGTACCTGAAAATGCTGGGGTTGCCAAGTTATTTCAGGAGTCTGAAATCGATGCATACCCTCTGTAGTCTGAGTGAGACATCCTGCGTCTGTGACTGGATGTTTGTCTCAACAATATCTGGATCAAGACTAACTTTGTAAATGTTAAATGCCCTTGCTTACTAGATCAAACGGCTTTTTTTTTTTTAAGTTAGGATAATGCTGGAGCTGTGTTGTGCTACAGATTTTCTGTCTTGTGTCTACAATTCTACATGGAAATGTTTTCTTAGCAAAATATTCTGTTGATGCACTTTTGCTTTATAAAACAAATAGTTTAATCACATACAACTGTACAAGTTTTTTTAATATGTAGCCTAACAATAGTTACTACTGCTTAAAAATGGTTTAGTAGCTGAGCTCTTCACCATTCCTAGTATATTTATACTGAAGGCTTCTCTATAAAACAAGGAAATATGCCTATCCCTATTCTTATAAAGCAATATTTGAGAAGGATAAAGTGGCTMATGTTGTATGCTACAGTGCTTTGGATTCTGGTGCCATGTTTAAGGGAGCTCAACATGTTTTTTTGGAAAATCCAGAGCAATGTGAGCTGTTAATACTGAGGTATCCTCCAGTTTCTGGTGTCCCAAGCTTCAGGGAGAGCCGGATGTGGAGAGTTGTGTCTTTTAACTATGCTTGCTCAGAATTTTCTTCTCATTTTCCTTTTAGTTGCTGCATGCCACTTAAGAAATGTGATGTTGTCGTTTTTGAGCAGCCTTGATGCMTCTTAGTTCATGATGCCTCTTAGTTCAAATGCATGGTGCCTCTCAGTTCAAGGAGAAATATTTCAGTCTAGCAGATTGATAGCATCCGTTTCAAAACCACTGTGAGTTGAGTTGTCCTCCAAAACCTGCAGATGGTCTGACTGATTACAGTACAATAATCCATGAATTACACTATAACGTTTTCTGCAGGGCAGACCTTTAAAATAGATTTTCTCCAAAAAATGTAAATGGTAGCAATACAAAAAAGACTATATCTGYATGAATTTAAATCTGTAAAATTATTATTCTTTTTGTGGGATTTTAAAAAATGGATGGTTGCAAGCTGTTSACTCTTACTGCAGAAGAGTCTAGGAAGTTTCTCTGATTTAGTCTTTAAGTGGCKTTTGGAGAGTGTAGTTGCTTAATTTCCCTTGTTTTCTGTGTAACCTACTGATGTTGCAAATATCTGTTTTGTTCTGTTCCTTCCTCTTCCCCCTCTCCCAAATGAACATACAGGAAGTAATTTTGGGACTGCTAAGGATCTGACAGAAGAAATAAGATCGCTAATGTCTGAGAAAGAGGGTCTAGAAGGACTTCTCAACGAGCTRTTGGTGTTGAGTGCCAGAAATATCCGAAAATTAGAGAGAATTAAAGACGATTACAACAGACTGAAACAAGAACTKGAGCAGGGAGAGACCGCCTTTGGTAAGTCAATAAGCACAGGCAATTACAGCTTTTGTTCAGCTGGGGGGACCTACAAGTCTGCTGGGTGTGTTAACCCTCCCTGTGTTCCACAGAACATATATGCTTTCAGAGGAGAGTTTGGCCAGCTAAGCAGTTTGCTGCACAGGATCTTCAGYTTTGTCTGGTAGCTGGTGGGGAAGGGAAGGGAAGGAGCATCCTGATAAAATACTGCTTTTGAGATCTCTCTTAGCCCACTTTTCAAATGCGTTGTAAAAATGATGATGATGCCCTGTGTATATTCACATAGAGTGATATACACATAAATAATCTTCTAGCTGTGAGCAGTAGGTGATGTTGAATGTACCAGCATTAGCAATGTGTTCAGTAAGGCTCTGCTCGTGAGCTGAAAGGGATGAGTGGTTCTAAGGCAAGGCTTCTTTATTTAGATTTATGACTGGGAGGAGAGGATTTCAGCAGCTTAACTAATACGGCTCGCATATGCCCATAAGCAGTACTTGGGTTGCAGTGTCACAGTGGAATTGCAAAAGYTATCTGCATTTATGGGAAAAACTACAGACTAACGAAGTAGCAAGGCCGCTAGGCCTGGCCCATCCTCTCTGGCTAGTGTCCCCTCTCCTGGAGTTGTTGTGCTCATAAAGTGGCCTTGCTGCTTGGTTTAAATGTTACCTCCACTTTTAATTTGCTGATTACAAATGTGCAGTTACTATGGTTACCTCCAAACAGCTAAGTGTAAGTCTGAGGGATTGATTAAAGCTCTAAGGGTTTGAATGTCTTTGTTTTTTTCACGATCTTGTGGGCCAGAGGTTGGCTGAGGACAGAAAAGTGCCTCCGACTTAAAAGACTATGAAGACACATAGACACATAGGTAGGCAGAGTTATCTTGGATGCAAAATTAATGCCCTTTAAAATACACAGAATAATACATGTGTAGTCCTAGAAAAGAATTTGCTTTGTTAGAAACTAGATGGCTAAAAAACTTCCACAATATTCCTCAGGGAGGTATGCCAATACCTAAGCAATGCTATCCAAAAGCACGCTGTGCAGCGCTTCCCCTTTGCTTGAATTTGCAAGGGGTGGAAGAGGTTTCTTACCTTCTGAGCTGTCTGTTCTGTTGCTACTTTGTTTCTAGGACAATGAAACATCTTGTAAGTTTTTCAGAGAAACACTACTTATTTGTGCTTTTACTCATCAGGGTTTCAAAACAAGCTCATGTAAGACTGTTGCTGAAGCAACAGAGCTGGTAGCAGCTCAGAGACTCTTTTTCCCTTCGCTTTTAGTAGCTGAAATGAAGTGTCATTTTGTTCTGACCTCTACTGTTCTGCAATATATGACAATAAATTGCAAAACACAAGATGTTTACCGAGCAGATTGGTTTTTAATTTATTGTGATTCTATAGCAGTTGGAAGAGAAATTTYATCCTTGTGTAAAATAAAACTCTTTTAATAGAGAGCTAGATATCAGAAAGATATAGATKGAAATCTCAGATGGTCCCTTGTCTTCCCCTCTGCCCCTTTTGCATGCTGTCTGCACCATTTTCTTTAAAGAATGGAAATGCCTTTAGGTTTGAGAACACTAGCAGGACATTGATACTAAATGTTTAATTACTCCAACAACAAAAATAGCCTTCTGTTACAATCTGGAAAATAGTAAACACAGGAGACACCCACTTTTATGAACTGATTGCTGTTTTGCACAAGGCTTTTGTGTTTGGAGAATAAAGCATAAACAATGGGAAGAGAATAGAAATCTGTTACTGTGGGATAGTTTTAAGCCATAGATAGTGTATGATGGTTGAGAAGGTTTTTGCTGTGGCTGTTGCTGCCTTTTATTTTGTTGGATGCTGCAGTCTTGTCTGTGGCAGAATGACTGAGAATGGAGCTTTTTTTGTGTGGTGAAATGGTTGCAGTTTGCAAGCTTTAGCATTTGAAAAATTGAATGGATGGAGCTAAGCCTGGCAGGGGCGCTCCAAGTGCCAGGGCACAGCCCAGCAGGCTCTGACCCCTTCTGTTCCCTGCACCAGCGCGATTATAAGCGGTGCATCTCTGTCCCCAAAAGCCCAAGCAGCTCTCTAGCAACCTGCAGTAAATCTCCTTGTGACTTTTGGACTTTGTTCCTCCTCTTTCCCTCCACCAGGCTGAATTCAGGCCTCTGCTTTCGCGACGACATAGCTCTGAGTGCAGGTAGTGCCCTRCTCCCCTGCTCATGCTGGGCTGCACGCAGGCCTCTGCAGGCAGCCACGCTTTGAGGCTGGAGTTAGCTGGCCTATTGCAAGACCTGGGGGGTAAGCCAGGCCCCAGGCCTTGTCGTGCACCACAGTTAGGTTGTTGCTGCTGTTGCACGGGGCACTTGTCCCGGGGAAGCTCCGTGCTGSCCTGGCCGCGCTTGCAGGGCTGCTGCTGCCCTCCATGAGCTGCCCACAGGTAATGAGGGAGAGCAGGAGCACTTTGGGCTGAATGAAATAAATGTGTGAAATCAGCGTCTGCCACAGACTGGACAGAGGTGACTGGAAGATGCRCAGCAGAGAGTCCTTATGTCTTCTCTTCCTGCGAGGTTTATGCTCATTGAAGGGAGTTTGTGGGCTGAGGTCACTTGCACTGTACAAAGGACAGGCTTCGTTTCCCTCCTAGAGGGGTCAATGGATTGACTGGATGCCATGAGCAGTTGTACGCTTTCATTCTTGCTTTCATATTATTTCCAGGGAATAATCTTCTACTTTCCCTTTCTCAGGAGCTCTCCCCCTTTTCACTTACAGCTCCTTAAAACCTTCTGCGGGACTATTTCTACACATAGCCATCTTCACACCACCTTGGACTGTTGTCTTTTGTGCCTCTGAACTTCTCAGAAAACTTACTTAGAAATGGCTGTTGAACTGAAGATAATGCCACTTTGAAGATATCTTTTTTATTTTTTCTTCAGAACAAAAAAATGGAACACTAAAATGTGTGTATGTGTTTCTCTTGTGGATAAATTGGTCACCATTTTTTTCCCCTTCATTAGTAATTGTTGATTTCTCACAGTAATGTCGATACAAGAAAGCAGACGTCAAGGGAAGAGACTTAATCACACAATAATCAGAGCTGGAATTTTAAACAGGACGCATCATTAGCATGTTAATGAATTTTCTCACTTTGTGCCAGCTGCCCAAGTATAAAAGATATTGCAGATGTTGTGCAAAAATCAGGCTTGGCTTACTGTGCTGAGAGCTGTCAATGTTCCCTACAAAGGAGACTTGATAAAAATCCTTTCATATTTTTAGAGATGCTCAAAGATATTTTTTCCCTTTGGATAATAGAAGCATCAAAAAGTGACTTATTAGTATTTTAGGATGAATAGTACTAATTTGCTTTTATATAGTAACTTTCTTTTGAGGGTGTCGGAGCACTTTTATAGATGCAATCTACTGTTATTGCCATTTTACACATACACAAACCAGAGAGGCAGAGAGGTCATGCAATTTTACTTGAAATGGCAGTGGAGCCAAGTTTCCTGATTGATGCTCTAGCAAGTAGAATTAATCACTTTAAATAAACAGACCTGAAATTAAGTGATGCTTTGATGAGCTTTGCATTCTTCTTGACCACAGGGCTTTCTATAGCCTTTCACATAGTGATTCYGAGAAAAATCCCTGAAGATCGTGTGCTTTCCTGTTGACCAGGCCTGCCTTAGGAAGCAAAGGGCTCTGTTGTGGTGARGAAGGTAATTGCTTTGCAGCCCAGAGCAGCCCAAGCCTTGCTCCAGACAAGTGAAACTTAATTACTCGCCTGTCTGCCAAACTGCTGGATAGCACTTAAATCCTGACTTGCACTGATTGGCGTTTCTAACCTAGGGCTGGAAATGAAAGCGACCCTCTTGTCTCCGTTTCCTCATTACCAATATTGAAGGGCAAGTTTGCTGGCCCCATTTGCTAAATCCCTTTTCTAGCTGCACTCGGCCAGTTCCTGCCCCTATCACATACACTTTGGAGACAACATCTACTGGTGAGCAGTGCACAGAGCTAGGGGCTCTCTGCTACGTGATCTACCCCATAAGGTGACCTTGCCAAGTCACTGGAAGAAGAATTTCTATACAGAATGGATTTATAGAGGAAATACGAAGTAAAGGCCATCGTGTGCATCAAAGCAGCACATTAATTCTTTTTATAATCATTGTTTGGAAACTGAAACTTCATTCTTTGCRACTGAGCTCTCATTGACATTACTGAGGGCTTTACTGCCTTAGAAAAAGCTCTTGTTGGTCCTAGAGCTCTCAGCCAGCCAGCTTGTGGAGTGGCTGAGATTTCCGGGGGGTRAACAGATAGACTTCTTAAATAATGGATTGTAGCAGATTGGGATTTTCCTTTTGGAAGTGCATGTAMCATGCTTGCACATGGTATCTCATAGCTATTTGTCCTGTACCTGGAGGGAAACCAATCCATGTCCATTTTTTATTTACTTTTTTGAAAAGTATGCTTAGCTAATTGACTTATTAATAATTGAACTATTGCACAGTTTGTTCCATTTCTATTGCCCTTTAAAGAATAACAAAAATTCTGCTCTTCTCACAGTTATTGTTCAAGAGCTCTATATTTAGCCATCATGCAGGATGAAATTAATTACTCTGAAACTTGGCATTCTTGTGGTCAACAGAAATCACTAGGGGCGCTACTTAAAATAATACTGGCATTGTGCTCCAAAGTTCTTATGAAAAGCAGGCTTGCTGTTTCCTGCAGAAATGTATAGGATGTGATTTGCCAAACTGTTAATGAGTATTTACTGTAAAGTATTTTTATTCCTTTTTAAMGGCACAGTTTTATGCTGGCAGATTCATCAGTAAAAATCTGATAACAGAAGTATTTGCTTTTAATAGTAGCTCTTATATGAAAACTCTCCTAATGTCATTTCTAACTTTGATTTTTACAATATTTTTTGGAAAGGTCTAAAAGCTATTAAAATTCCCTAGCAGTCTGAATTATTTCGAAAATATAATTTCGGCCTCTGTTTGTGCTATGAAAAAAAATTCCATATTTTTCTTTACTGATTTCCAGGTTATGTAAGTATTGTGTCTTCAGTGTTGTTTTCTTTTCTGCACCAAATAGGCTTTCTGTATTCTTTCCAGAGCTCATCTTGTGTCTGAGTGATTATTTGATTTTAAACGGAAAAGATGAACCTTTTGATTGCTTCTGTTTAAATAAATCATTAAAGGAAAACAGCACAGTGTGTAACAGATGGGCTTCCATGAGGAAGAAGCTGTTCTGAGGCTCATCGGGCATCTACTTCTAATTTGTGCAAGGTCGCTGTGTTCCGCATGTCACAAGTATCTGAAATGCTGGTGGTCACTCACGTGAGAGGTGGAATGGGGCAGTTTGTTGCTTATGTCTGTGGCCATCTCTTTTTTTTTAACAGGGTTCTTATCGGCTTTAACTCGCTTTTGCTCTCYTCAGCTTTCACAAAACGCACCCAGTGTGAGGTGGTGGTGGAGGAGGCAGCGCTGGCGGTGCAGCGGGTCACTCGGGGTCTTTACTCCGAGTTAACGTTCAGCTGATGCTCCAAAGCAGCAGCCAGCAGCCATTTGGCAGGCACTGAGGAAAAGCCAGGTCCATGTGACAACGGAAAACTAAAAGCAACCAAAGAAATAAACTATCACAAAACCCTTGCAGAGCTCCATTTCTTTTGTCTTGGCCAAATCATAGAATCTTTAAGGTTGGAAGGGACCTCTAGAGATCCTCTAGTCCAACCTCCCTGCTCCAGCAGGGACACCCAGAGCACGGGGCACAGGGYGGCATCCAGGTGGGTTTGGAAGATCTCCAAAGCAGGAGACTCCACAACCTCCCTGGGCAGCCTGTGCCAGGGCTCTGTCACCCTCATAGGAAAGAAGTTTTTCCTTAAGTTCCTGTGGAACTTTTGGTGCCTCAGYTTGTGGCCGTTTCCTCTAGTCCTATCGCTGGCCACCACTGAAAAGAGGCCGCCCCCTCCTCCTCACTGCCTCCCTTGAGGTATTTATACACGCTGATCAGGTTCCCCCTCAGCCTCCTCTTCTCCAGGCTGGACAGGCCCAGCTCCCTCAGCCTTTGCTCATGGGGCAGATGTTCCATCATAATGCAATATGAGGGGTTGCATTCTGCTCACTGGCGCTCTCTGCGCTTTCCTTTGAAAAACTGCTATTTCTGCTTTTTGTTCCAAGTTGGGCTGTTATGTGCAGTACCTGTTTGCCTGATTTTCATTGGCTGTCAGCTCGATTCTCAGTCTCTGTGGGCCTTTGTAAAGCACTTGGGATCTTGCAGGTTAAGTACAGCCAAAAGCTTCTCTTAGTCTTATAATTCATTAATGTTTTTATCTGTATTTCAAACTGTTATCTGGCTTGGAGGGTCAGATTTGACTGCTGGTTGTCATTCCATGTTCTCCCTCTCCCCCCACTCCCCAAATTTATATGAAATAAGTTAAAATGATTTTCTGATTAAGATCTCAAATAATTTTTACTGTAATATTTTAGTTCTTATGTGTTACAGAATTGTCTTTTTGCTGAATATAAGCTATAAAAAATTTAATCTATCAAGAGTTAAGTTCTGTTAAGCATTTTCTGCAAGCAAAAATAAAGTATATTTTTGGTTTAGAGATTAATTTTGTCAGAATTGCCTTATGTCTTGAGTGACTTGCAATGGTCTTTCTTATAATGATAATCATAAAGGTCATCTTGTTTGCTGTTTTTTCGTTTCAATATGTAAAACAGTCAATGATCAATATGTAAAATAGTTGATGATTTTTCATTTTAAAGGATAGAGATTTACTTTATATAAAAGCAGTGGAAGTACTAAATGTACCTGAATTGTTCTGTATAATTAGATACAAATATCTGAAAAGCAGAGAATASGAAATGAGCATTCAGGCAACCTGAACTGCCACAACAGCTTGGTTCAAAGCCCACAGATACCTATAGGAGTCTTTTGATCAGGCCGTTTCTGTGTTGATGCTCAAAGGTGAGCTTCTCTACCGTTTCTTTCCACTGAGATCTGATGACTCGTGATCTTTCCTGAAATGTTGTATACACTTTGCAGTGCTCCCCTCTTCAGACTGCAGCAGAACCTGTCTGCACAGCAGAGTAATCATACCTTAAATATCGTGGCATTGACTCGGCAGTCATAGAGGAAGCCAGGGGTAAGAAAGGGAACTCGCTCTGTAGTTTCATKTTGGCTCTTTGCAGGAGAAATGGTGCAAGTTACTAAAAGACCTTCTGCAATAGTGAAAGTTGAGGGCCTCCAAATCCAACTTTCTACGGTCCTACAACATGCACCTTTAATGTGCAACTTTGCATAAAAGCAAGCAATCAGTTCTTAAACCACGACATAACCTTTTGAAATGCTACTGTCAGCAATACACTGAAGACATTACTCTTGTATGTTTGACACTAAATAATACCCAGTTTGCCATCTGCATTCTGGGTTTCTGCATCCCTACACTTTTTTGTCAGTCTGTTTCAGATGATGGAGGTGAAACAGCATAAATATGAAGCAACACAGAAATGAATTTCGGAGTACAGATTACCAGCTTTATTCTTCATTAGATTCCATTTAGAATCATAGGATCATTATAGTTGGAAAAGACCTTGAAGATGAGCAGTTCCAAGTGTAAGTCSATCACCACCGTGCCTGCCAAACCATGTCCCTCGGTGCCTCTCCTACATCTGCCTCGACTACAATTCTGCAGTTGATTCTTTTGAGGAGACAGCATCACAGTTATGTCCATTTCTCAGCAAGGGTTTTAATTCTGAGTGTCATACAGTGTGGTTTTGTTTTCTTGAGTCTTTGGTTTTGTTCAAGTTATTTAGCATGATATAGTGTCTGAAAACAGAGGAGATCATTTAGTATTTTCAGTTCTCATGGATGTGCAAATGCTCTGAAGTGTATGCTTTGCCTCATTCACTTTCTTTTGAGGATAAATATAGAGATGGATAGGATATTTAAGGAATTATCAGTGCATGTTCAAGCATCACTGCAGTGAAGCCAGGCAGGCAGTTATCCTTCCACAGATTCAGGATTTTCATAATGAAAATAGTACATCATTGTACATTTACTACTTTATTACTGTGTAAACTGGAAAATATTGGGACATCTGGAATCATTGATGCAAAGTTCATGTCCTAGAATGGGATTATCCTGCAGCAGGATCAGAGCATAAAGCTACTGTTTAACTTTTTAGTTAGAAATTAGTAACTCYAGTTTAGTAACTCTATCTAGGATTACGAACATCTAAGCAAAAGAATCCYTTGTATTTATTTTAAATGTAATTCAAGATATCACTCAGGAATTAAAGTTTTTTCAGGCTTTGTTCTTGTTGATTGTCTGACATAGAATAATTTGATCTTTCTGCTTTGTTCACTCTTATTGCTGTTGTTTCAGGGTTTTCGTTAAGGTAATCACAAATGCAACAGAAAAGGTAAAAGCTGAATGAAGGTTTCTGTAATTACCATATTCTGAAATAGGGACATTACTATCCTCAGATGGCTTCTTTTTGCTTAATACTTGATATTTAAAATGAATGAAATAACTACCTCCCGAGTCTAACTGTTTAGTTAACAGTTTAACTCTTATTTGAATCATGCAGGCTTCCAGGCCTGMTGCAGATTTTATGCCCACAGGTAGATAGAAATACAGGAAAATCTGGAGTAACAAAGTATTAATTACATATTGCACAAACATGGGGGACTTGCAGTCTTGATGATAAACCCACAAGGTAAACTCTGAAATTRTAATGCTTGCCAGGACACCTGCTCCTGATCTCCCAAATCATTTTATGGATGAAGAAGGCTCATTATTCTGAAGAAGGATTTACAATATAAAGTCTCTTTCAATCCTTACCTTTTACTAAAATACAAAAGTGGAAATGCAGAGATTTATAAATGCAAAAGAGGAGAAATATTTGTYCTTTGTATTATTCCGTAGTGAAAATTACTTTATTTTTTTTAGCTTTTCGTTTTTCCTAAGCTTTTTATTATTTGTTCACTTCCTGTAAGTCCTAACTGATGACTCTGAGGTAAAGCAAACCTTATTATTTCATGTGGGGTCAGGTGCTCTGTAACTCACATTGATGAGTCCAAAGTCTTTGTCCAAGAGTTTTCTTCCTTCCTTCCCTGGAGATACAAACGGGAGTGTAAAAGGCAGAAAAACAAGGAATTGTCGAAGTCCAAGGCAARGAGCTGGAGCTGTGTGTGCCTCGGTTTGCTTTCTGTCCTCCCTGGTGTGGTGCTAGGACCACAGGTGCTGGCAGACAGTAGTACAAAATCAGGGATTTTGTCAGCACAGAACTTGAGGTCGATACACAGCAGGTGCTACAATGATTATTATTATTTTTGATTACCTGCCAGATTTCAACTGGTAGTCTGTGATCACAGAAAACAGTTTTTAATGTAAGAAATATATTTAATTGGATGTTCAAAGGGATTTAATCTTTTTTCACTTCCATTCAAACCTAATTCTTTTTTTTTTACACGAAAATATTGCAGTGTGTGGAATGTAATTAAAACTCCAAATGATTCTAGCTGAAAAGAAGATTCAGTCGTATTTGCAGGGGATATTTTTGGCTTGGTGTACGTGCTAAAGACTCTAGTAAAGATAAACAARCAGTGTTTGCCAAGCTACATATGATTAAGCAATTCATTACCTGCTGGAATTATCATCTGGAAGATACACTGTATGGCTTGAGCTACAACCTTTATTCCCTTTTACCAGGATTATACCTCTTATCTAGTGTGGTGTATGGAAATATAATTAGTAATGTGAGTTGGAAGTGACAGGGTGAAGCTGTGCAAAGTTTTGTGTAGATAAACAAGCCTATATCTAGATTGAAAGTAGTAGAAACCTTTTTTCTACTGCTTTCCAATTTGCAATCATATTTTAAAATAAGATGCAGAAAACAAGTCATCTGTGCTCCATGCCAGAGAAAAACAAATAAGCAATCAGCTTGACTTTGAGAAGCTTTGAAAAATTTTAAGTCCTACAGGAAGCAGTGGAAAATGCAGATCTCTTGTATTCTTGATATTGAATGTTTTACTTGAAAGAGAAATTTGAAAATGTGTGGAGGCAGAAATTTTTGGCCTGTTGATGTAATTAAGAGTTCTGCTTCTAATTTCAGAACAGTTTAGGATTTCACCTCTGGTATTCTGCTATATTGAAATTTCAAAAGCCATTTTTGACCTGAGCTACTCGGATGCAGACCCTAATTGTTTTGGTGGAAGTGCTGTCCACATAATAAAGAGTAGGACTTGATAAGAAGT